AAATGAAGTTGGAACTACAGCCATACCAGCACGTTGCTGGAGTCCTCCGGTGGCACAATGGGTTCAACCTTTGTGCCGGCAGGACTGAAGACCAACAGATCGGAGGTTCAAATCTGGGGAGAGCACAGATGAGCTCCCTTTGTCAGCTCCAGCTCCCCATGCGGGGACACGAGAGAAGCCTCCCACAAGCATGGTAAAACATCAAAACATCCAGGCAACGTCCCCTGGGCAACGTCCTTGCAGACAGCCAATTCTCTCACACCAGAAGCGACTTGCAGTTTCTCTAGTCCAGCTTTTCTCAACCTGAGGGGATGCCAAAGGTAATCAACAAACACAATATTTTCTGTTGGTCATGGGGGTTCTGTGTGGGAAGTTTGGCCCAATTCTATCATTGGTGCAGTTCAGAATACTCTTTAATTGTAGGTGAACTATACATCCCAGCAACTACAACTCCCAAATGTGAGCACTGGTGGAGTTTGGGGAAAATAGACCTTATTTCCCCCAAACTCCACCAGTGCTCACATTTAGGCATATTGAGTATTCATGCCAAGTTTGTCCAGATGCATTATTGTTTGACTCCACAGTGCTCTCTGTATGTGGGTGAACTACAACCCCCAGACTCAAGGACAATGCCCACCAAACCCTTCCAGCATTTTCTGTTGGTCATGGGATTTCCATGTGCCAAGTTTGGTTCACTTCCATCTTCGGTAGGGTTGAGAATGCTCTTTATTGTAGGTGAACTATGCATCCCAGCAACTACAACTCCCAAATGGCAAGGTCTATTTTCCCCAAACTCCACCAGTGCTCACATTTGAACATATTGAGTATTTGTGCCAAGTTTAGTCCGGATCTGTTTGAGTCCACAGTGCTCTCTGGATGTAGGTGAACTACAACTCCCAAACTCAAGGTCAATGCCCTTCCAGTATTTTCTGTTGGTCGTGGGATTTCTGTGTGCCAAGTTTGGCTCATTTCCATATTTGTTGGGGTTGAGAACGCTTTTTGATTGTAGGTGAACTATACATCCCAGCAACTACAACTCCCAAATGACAAAATCAAGGAAGGTTAAGAACCATTGCTCTGGTCGCTCCTGACATGAAAATAAAATTAAAAGAAACAAACCTTGGAAGCAACCCAGGGTCTCAATGTGAAAAAGTTAAGCAGTACACAAAGCAATACACACACACACACATTTTCTGAGCTAGTGTGGGTGGTTTTTTGTTTTTTGGGGGGTTTTTTTTGTCGTGTCAGGAGCAAGTCGCTTCTGGTGTGAGAGAATTGGCTGTCTGCAAGGACGCTGCCCAGGGGATACCTGGATGATTTGATGTTTTTATCATCCTTGTGGGAGGCTTCTCTCATATCCCTGCATGAGGAGCTGGAGCTGATAAAGGGAGCTCATCTGCCGCTCCCCGGATTCGAACCTGCGACCTGTCGGTCTTCAGTCCTGCCGGCACAGGGGTTTAACCCACTGCGCCACAGGGAGCTCCAGTGCGGGTGGTAAGGGTGGCATAATTAAAGACCACAGTACACTCACTCCGAGTTCAAGAAATAGCTATCTAGGAAACACACGTTAGTCTTGGTGGTGAGTCACTGGAAGATCTAGGAAAATATCAGCATGACTCCTGGAAAAGATGACAACCTTTGTTACCCCTCCTTAGGCTCATCCTGCCCCTGCTGCATACCTTTCTGTGCATCCAAATTACGAATGTGAGATAAGGCAAGTACTTCGGAAAGGCGAGTACTTTGGAATTTCTAGAGCTTCATAGAATCAAAGAGTTGGAAGAGACCTCATGGGTCATCCAGTCCAACCCCCTGCCAAGAAGCAAGAATACTGCATTCAAAGCACCCCTAACAGATGGCCATCCAGCCTCTGTTTAAAAGTTTCCAAAGAAGGATCCTCCACCACACTCCCTCCGGGGCAGAGAGTTCCATTGCTGAACGGCTCTCAGAGTCAGGAAGTTCTTCCTTGTGTTCAGATGGAATCTCCTTTCTTGTAGTTTGAAGCCATTGTTCCATCGCGTCCTAGTCTCCAAGGAAGCAGAAAACAAGCTTGCTCCCTCCTCCCTGTGGCTTCCTCTCACATATGTATACATGGCTATCATATCTCCTCTCAGCCTTTTCTTCTTCAGGCTAAACATGCCCAGCTCATTAAGCCGCTCCTCATAGGGCTTGATCTCCAGACCCTTGATCATTTTAGCCGCCCTCCTCTGGACACATTCCAGCTTGTCAATATCTCTCTTCAATTGTGGTGCCCAGAATTGGACACAATATTCCAGGTGTGGTCTAACCAAGGCGGAATAGAGCATGGGGAGCATGACTTCCCTAGATCTAGACACTATGCTCCTATTGATGCAGGCCAAAATCCCATTGGCTTATTTTTGCCGCCACATCACATTGTTGGCTCATGTTTAACTTCCTGTCCACGAGGACTCCAAGATCTTTTTCACACGTCCTACTCTCGAGCCAGGCATTGTCCCCCATTCTGTGTCTTTGCATTTCATTTTTCCTGCCTAAGTGGAGTCTCTTGCATTTGTCCCTGTTGAACTTCATTTTGTTAGTTTTGGGCCATCTCTCTCATCTGTGAGGATCGTTTTGAATCCTGCTCCTGTCCTCTGGAATATTGGCTATCCCTCCCAATTTGGTGTCGTCTGCAAACTTAGATGAACCCTTCACCTAAGTCATTAATAAAGATCCTGAACAGGACCGGGCCCAGGACGGAGCCCTGCTTCTGGCACTCCGCTCGTCACTTCTTTCCAGGATGAAGAGGAATCCTTGGGGAGAATCACCCTCTGGGTTCGTCCATTTAACCAATTACAGATCCACCTCACCGTAGTTTTGCCTAGCCCATGCTCAGCTCTTCCAAAGATGGAAGTGAACCAAACTTGGCACGGATACTCAAATGTGCCCAAATGTGAAAACTGATGGGGTTTGGGGAAAATAGACTTTGACATTTGGAGTTGTACTTGCTGGGATTTATAGTTCACCTACAATCAAGGAGCGTTCTGAACCCCACCAATGATAGAATTGGGCCAAAGTTCCCACACAGAACCTCCATGAATAACAGAAAATACTGTGTTTACTGATGGTCTTTGGTGACCCCTCTGACACACCTTCGCGACCCCCACCCAGGGATCCCAACCCCCAGGTTGGGAAACACTGACCTAGGGCCACCTCTGCCTCCACCCTAAATTGCTTTTACCTGTAAACTGTTACTTACAAACTACTCAGCCCTTTGAAACCAAAACTTACATTAACCCTTCCATCACCAACTGCCAGGTCTACCATCACCAACCAGAATCAACTATGGAACATACGACAGGCACCTTCTGCTGTCAAGAATTCAATGACTGCACATTGCTTAAGTCGCATTGACTGACCGTCTGCGCAGGTTTTATTCATTTATTTATTTATTTGGTTTACTTCTACCCCGCCCTTCTCACCCCGCAAGGGGACTCAGGGCGGCTTACAAAAACAAGGCACAATTCGATGCCCGTATCACACAACAGTAATAAACAAAATAGCATAAATTAGCAATCAAACCACAATTCTACATTACATCTATGAACCGATAAAACCAATAAGACCAATAAAAATCCATACAAACCAATACAAACCAATTACTCCTTGTTGCCGGTCAGCGTTCGCTATCTCATAGTTCAAATTCCAATTCCACAATTGTCAGTCCTGTCAGTCCTATTCGTCTGGTTGTCCTTATCTAGTTAGTAGATTGCCCGAAGGCCTGGTCCCACAACCACGTCTTTACCTTCCTCCTGAAGGAGAGGAGGGATTTTGATGCCCTAATTTCCCCCAGGAGTGAGTTCCACAGGTGAGGGGCCACCACTGAGAAGGTCCTGCTCCTCGTCCCCACCAGCCGCACTTGGGATAGTGGTGGGGTAGAGAGCAGGGCCCACCCAGATGATCTCAAATTCCGGGGTGGGATGTAGAGGGAGATCAGGAGATCAGTAGAGGGAGATCAGCCGTTCAGCAGTGGAACTCTCTGCCCCTGAGTGTGGTGGAGGCTCCTTCTTTGGAAGCTTTTAAACAGGGGCTGAATGGCCATCTGTCAGGGGTGATTTGAATGCAATATTCCTGCTTCTTCGCAGAATGGGGTTGGACTGGATGGCCAGGGGCGGTTCATCCATTACACAAAGTAAGCAGTCGCAGTACACTTTTTATTTTGCCAGGGGCGCAGAGGCGCCTCTGTAAATGCCCTTCGACCGCCACTTGAGGAGCTCCCCCTCGGCTCACAACAGCCCTAGCAGTCCGGGGGGAGCCTTAGCAACCTATTACACAAAGTAAGTATTTGCAGTATAGTTGATTGTGCCCAGGGGCACTCTTGAGGCACTCTTGGGGGAAAATAGACCTTGACATATGCGAGTTGTAGTTACTGGGATGTATAGTTCACCTACATCAAAGAGCATTCTGAACTCCGCCAATGATGAAATTGAACCAAATATGGCTCACAGAACTCCCACGACGAACAGAAAATATATATCAATAATTGGTTGGGGGGGGGGGGCAAAATACTGTTTGCTTACCATTGAAAATTACCTAGGGCCGCCTCTGTGGATGGCCCATGAGGTCTCTTCCAACTCTTTGATTCTATGATTCTATGATTCTATACGTTCAGACAGATACACTGGACCGGAACTGTACAGGGTTCCATACTTTGCACTTTAACAACACAACCGTTCAATGCTAAGTCTTCCCGTCAAAATGGAACTGTAGAGGAGAGTCTACTGAACAAGCCAATAACTGCCGCATACCAGTATTGCCATCTGTTGAGGAGTTACAAAGGTGGAGGCATTACTTTTCACTTTAACAACACAACCGTTCAATGCTAAGTCTTCCCGTCAAAATGGAACTGTAGAGGAGAGTCTAATGAACAAGCCAATAACTGCCCCATACCAGTATTGCCATCGGTTGAGGAGTTATGAAGGTGGAGGCATTACTTTTCATTCAACCCTCGTATGTCCTCACCATCACTCTGCCCTCTGACTTACCTTTGCTGAGTGTCAACCAAGAGATCCTTCAGCTTTCAGGAAGCAACCAACACCACAGATGTCTTCTTCTTCAGTGCAGTTCAGAGCCAAGGAAGCCTCTGCTTCAAGACAGGACAAGAGGGAGGGCACCCCATTCCTTCTCTCTCCCCCCGCCCTCCTCTGCTTTCCTTCTGGGTGGGTTGCTGGCTTCCCAGGCCGGGCTGGGAGAAGCCAGAGCCAAAGGGGACCAAGTGGGGAAGAAGAAGGCGAGGCTGCAAGAGGGGAGCACAGGGAGAGGCAGGAAGGGGCCGGGATCCGCTGTCGGCCGCCAGGAAGCGTTTGACAAGGGCTCCGAGGGGAAGCATAACAATAATAGCAACATGTGTGTGTGTGTTTCTTTAAAAAAGTTCATATTTTGGCAAAATGACAGATTGTTTGAAAAATGCAAAACATGCACTGGGAAAGAATGCTTGGCGGTTCTCAGGGGGGAGCTGCAAGCCAGCCCATCTGCCCCTAGGAACAGGGTTTAGGGGTGCTTTGGGGCCTTGCTAGGCTCCTGAGGGTTGGAAGAGGCCAAGACCAGTCCGCTAGGAACTTCGGCTTGTTTATATGACAGTGTTCCCTCACTTATTGCGGGGGTTACGTTCCAGGACGTCCCGCAATAAGTGAAAAACCGCGATGTAGGAACACTATATTTATTTTAATATTTATACATTACTAGTAGGCCTGTGCGGTTTCGTTCGTTAATTCGTTAATTCGTTATTAATTCGTTATTTTTGGCATTTCCGAAGCGATATTGAAACATATTTCCAAACCCGGAAGGGTTTTTAAATATCGAACCAGCAACCCCCATAGTTTTAACGAGCCTCCGCTCGTTTCGTTAATGGGGTGGAGGCTGCTGGAGTGCTGGTGCCTGGGAGCCAATCCGGCGCTCCCAAGCAGTGCACCATGGGTCCGTGGCTGTGTCTGTTTTTGATTGGCCGGCGAGCCCTTTCAAAGCGGCTCCGCGGCCCGTAGCTTGCTGGAGGGCGAGGGAGTTTGCATTGGGTTGGCTTGGCAATGGCTGCTAGCAACTGGGATTGGATTCATTCCTTGCTGCTGTGAGTGCTGCTTGCTTCATTTGCTGTCTCTTGCCTGTGTTTGGTCCACATTTGGGCCATTTTTTGGTTAATTTTCCATTTTAAAATATTTTTAATATTATTTTAATTTTATTTTTTTTTAAAATATTTTTTAATATTTTTTAATATTATTTTTTAATATTATTTTAATATTATTCTTAAAAAATATTCTAAAAAAGAAAAGACTCTTCTGTTGGTGTGTGCTCTCATTTGCTGTCTCCTGCCTGTGTTTGGTCCACATTTGGGCCATTTTTTGGTTAATTTTCCATTTAAAATATTTTTAATATTATTTTTAATATTATTTTTTAATATTATTTTAATTTTATTTTTTAATATTATTTTAATATTATTCTTAAAAAATATTCTAAAAAAGAAAAGACTCTTCTGTTGGTGTGTGCTCTCATTTGCTGTCTCCTGCCTGTGTTTGGTCCACATTTGGGCCATTTTTTGGTTAATTTTCCATTTTAAAATATTTTTAATATTATTTTTAATATTATTTTAATATTATTTTAATATTATTCTTAAAAAATATTCTAAAAAAGAAAAAACTCTTCTGTTGGTGTGTGCTCTCATTTGCTGTATCCTGCCTGTGTTTGGTCCACATTTGGGCCATTTTTTGGTTAATTTTCCATTTTAAAATATTTTTTAATATTATTTTAATATTATTCTTAAGAAATACAAAAAAAATTCTAAAAATTCGTTAATATTTACAAAATTTCTTAAATACCAAAACTTTTTTGGGGGAAAGTTTTGTAATTATTTTAAATATCGAAACAAAAAAACACCCCAATTACAAATCGATTTTAGAAACAAATTTTTTCTTGATCAAACAGGCCTAGCTGTACCCGCCACGGGCTGTTGTGGCCAACCTTCCCTCCCTCTTTCTCTCCTCCCTTCCCTCTTTCCTTCCTTTCCTCTTTTTCTTTCCCTATCTCCCATCTTTCCTTCATCCGCTCAAGCAGGGAGCTTTGAGATGGTTGAACAGAAGCTCTCCGAAGCTCTAGGTGCTCTCACTGCCTATTACAGGAAAAACCAACTGATCCCCAATCCATCTAAAACACAGACATGTGCCTTTCGCCTTAAGAACAGACAAGCATCCCGAGCTCTGAGAATGACCTGGGAAGGGTTCCCACTGGAGCATTGCAGCGCAACCAATTAGCTGTATCTCTGGCACTGGAGAGGGGTTGGCTGGTGACTGTTTTCTCGATGTTAAGTGACAGGCTGAGCTTCTCGTATGATTCTGCGAAGGTGTTTAGCATGGCTTGTAGATCTTCTGAATACACACAGACAACGTTGTCATCAGCATACTGGAGTTCTATAACAGATGTTGTTGTAACCTTGGCTTTGACTTTCAGTCCACTGAGGTTGAATAGCTTGCCATCTGTCCGATAGATGATTTCCACTCCGGTGGGAACCTTCCTACCAACAAGGTGAAGTATCATAGCGATGAAGATGGAGAATAAAGTTGGGGCAATAACACATAGAATCATAGAATCAAAGAGTTGGAAGAGACCTCATGGGCCATCCAGTCCAACCCCATTCTGCCAAGAAGCAGGAATATTGCATTCAAATCACCCCTGACAGGTGGCCATCCAGCCTCTGTTTAAAAGCTTCCAAAGAAGGAGCCTCCACCACACTCCGGGGCAGAGAGTTCCACTGCTGAACGGCTCTCACAGTCAGGAAGTTCTTCCTCATGTTCAGATGGAATCTCCTCTCTTGTAGTTTGAAGCCATTGTTCCTTGTCCTAGTCTCCAAGGAAGCAGAAAACAAGCTTGCTCCCTCCTCCCTGTGGCTTCCTCTCACATATTTATACATGGCTATCATATCTCCTCTCAGCCTTCTCTTCTTCAGGCTAAACATCCCCAGCTCCTTAAGCCGCTCCTCATAGGGCTTGTTCTCCAGACCCTTGATCATTTTAGTCGCCCTCCTCTGGACACATTCCAGCTTGTCAATATCTCTCTTGAATTGTGGTGCCCAGAATTGGACACAATATTCCAGGTGTGGTCTAACCAAAGCAGAATAGAGGGGTAGCATTACTTCCCTAGATCTAGACACTATGCTCCTATTGATGCAGGCCAAAATCCCATTGGCTTTTTTTGCCGCCACATCACATTCCTGGCTCATGTTTAACTTGCTGTCCACGAGGACTCCAAGATCTTTTTCACACGTACTGCTCTCAGCCAGGCATCCCACATTCTGTATCTTTGCATTTCGTTTTTCCTGCCAAAGTGGAGTATCTTGCATTTGTCACTGTTGAACTTCATTTTGTTAGTTTTGGCCCATCTCTCTAATCTGTCAAGATCGTTTTGAATTCTGCTCCTGTCCTCTGGAGTATTGGCTATCCCTCCCAATTTGGTGTCGTCTGCAAACTTGATGATCCTGCCTTCTAGCCCTTCATCTAAGTCATTAATAAAGATGTTGAACAGGACCAGCCCAGGACCGAACCCTGCGGCACTCCACTCGTCACTTCTTTCCAGGATGAAGAGGAAGCATTGGTGAGCACCCTCTGGGTTCGTCCATTTAACCAGTTCCAGATCCACCTCACCGTAGTTTTGCCTAGCCCACATTGGACTAGTTTGTTTACCAGTATTAAAAAAACCCTCTAAAATTACAACAGCAAAACAACAGAGGGAAAACAATCAGGCACATGTAATCACCTCTCAACAAAAGATTGCCCCATGCACTGCCAGGCCATCAAATGCTAATTAAGGTGGTCAGTTGAAACATTCACACCTAGCTCCAACAGACAAGAGTTCTTTGCCCCACCCTGGTCATTCCACAGATATATAAACCCATTTTCCTAGTTCCAACAGACCTCACTACCTCTGAGGATGCTTGCCATAGATGCAGGCGAAACATCAGGAAAAAATGCTTCTAGAACATGGCCATATAGCCAGGAAAAACCTACAACAACCTAATGAGAAAGTGTTGGTTTCTAATATACTGTATATACTCAAGTATAAGCCTAGTTTTTCAGGACTGACAATTGTGGAATTGGAATTTAAACTATGAGATTGTGAGGTTTGTATTGGTTTTATTGCTTTTATTGGTCTTATGGTTGTTTTGCCTATAATAATTATTGTTTTCTGTTCATTGTTGTTATTGCTAGAATTGCTGTTTTGCTAACTGATGTTATTGTCTTTTGCTGTTTTGTGATGCGGGCATCGAATTGTGCCTTGCTTTTGTAAGCCGCCCTGAACCCCCCCCGGGGTGAGAAGGGTGGGGGTAGAAGCAACCAAAATAATAATAATAATAATAATAATAATAATAATAATAATAATATGCCCCTTGGTATCCCTTACTGATGTCCCGGTCCTCAAACACTCTCTGCTTCATTCGGAAGAATGCTGCACTTGCAGAGCTCAGGCGGTGTTGTATTTCGGTGTCGATGCTGATTTTGGTGGAGAGGTGGCTGCCAAGGGAGTGAAAATGGTCCACATTTTCTAAAGTTACACCATTAAGCTGTATCGCTGGCATTGGAGAGGCGTTGGCTGGTGACTGCTGGAAGAACACTTTGGTTTTCTCGATGTTAAATGAGAGACCGAGCTTCTCGTATGCTTCTGCAAAGGTGTTTAGAGTGGCTTGTAGATCTTCTTCTGAATGCGCACAGACGACATTGTCATCAGCATACTGGAGTTCTATAACAGATGTTGTTGTAACCTTGGTTTTGGCTTTCAGTCTGCTGAGGTTGAATAGCTTGCATCTGTCCGAGAGATGATTTCCACTCCGGTGGGAACCTTCCTATCAACAAGGTGAAGTATCGTAGCGATGAAGATGGAGAATAAAGTTGGGGCAATAACGCATCCCTGTTTGACACCTGATTCCACCTTAAATGGGTCACTTTGGGAGCCATTGTGTCTAAGACTATCCCATTGTCAATCCTGCTGGCAAAGGGAATTTTGCCAGCAGCTTTTTTTCTTGCCAGCAGGCAAGAGAGGGGTGCCCTCTTGTGGCCACATGAAGAAAAAGAGAAAATGTTTTGTTCCCTTTCATAAATATTTTTTGATCTGGAAGTTGCCCGACCCAGCTCTATCTGTATGGTTTTTATGCTGCACTTTCCTATCTATCCATCTTGCCTTCAGAAGCTAGGCCTGTGTATTATTAGGCACAAGCTATGAGCAAACACAAACCTACAGTTGATCTTTTGGGGGAAAGTGCCATGTGTATGAATCTAGCAAGGGAGGCGATTGGTCTTGACAATCCCTGTTTCTACCCTTAGGTTCCTCTGTTACTACTAAATCTCATAT